GCTACAGACGTCTCAAACCAAGGTCATTCTGATTGCACCTTTTTGGCAGAAAAAAAAAAAAAATCATGGTTCTCCATCCTAAATGAATGGAGTTTAGTGGACCCTTGGTTTTTGCCACCTACTCGGAACCTTTTATCATAAGGGAGAATACATACTCCTCACCCAAAGAGGCTCTCCTTGACAGCATGGCTACTGAGTGGGAAAAGCCTAATAAAGAAAGTCTTATCAACTAAAAGTTGTCTCCACCATTCTAAGTGGCCTTAAAAACTCTACAAACGCCATTTACGATAAAATTTGGAAGAGATTCCCCCACTGGAAGGAAGAAAACAGACTGCTCAAGGCACTAACCCTGAATGCAGTCCTATAATTTTTACAAGCAGGGGCAAATCAGAATCTGTCAACACTCTCAAAGCACAAATAGCTGCCTTATCTAATTTTTGGTGCTAAAGTTGGCAGAGAATCCTCTAGTTAGAAGGTTTCTTAAGGCAATCGCAAGAAGGAACGCCCATTGCAGATCCAAGTTTCCTGCTTGCAATTTAGGTGTCCTAGGAATCTTTCAACATAAGCCCTTTGAGCCTCTGGATGAATGTTCAATTAGATTTTTAACACTCAAGTCTGTAGTTCTAGTAACCTTGGTCTCAACTTGCAGAGTCAATGAGTTACACGCTTTGTCTGTGATAGAGCCTTACTACACCATTTTAATGGACAAAATTATTCTCACTTTCATCCAGCATTTATACCAAAAGTTGTATTGGACTTTCACAAATCCAAAGACATTATAATCACTTCCTTTTGCAAAATCCTACAAATGACAAGGAAAAAGACTAACAAGATTGATGTAAGACTATGTCCCATCTCGGACCCGGCAGTAGGGTGGTTTACACACAATCCGGTCACCAGGATTGTGTCTAAAACTGACAGGCAGACTTCTGGCTGTCAGGTTGAGGCACTCTAGCAGTTGCACTGCTGCCTGACTGCTAACACACATCCCCAGTACCAGCAGCTTCCGCAACGTAATCCAGGCTCCACCCTCCGATCTGCAGGCCCGAGGTAGACATGATGGGTACCGACGGGTGGAAGGGAGGGAGGAGAGCGGCCACATGTTACATATCGCCATGCACGCCAGAGTGAGCAATACTTCTAGCACCAGACCTCCACAACACTAAACTGATGACCTATAGGAGGCTTTTGAAGTGTCGCCTATAGAAAATATAGGGTACTAAAGTTTGTCACCATTTGCAAACAAATTGAGGGATTGACATGTTTGGTATTTATTTACTCGGTGAAACCTTGTCTTTTAGATTTTACCAAAAATTTGTGCAATTTATTGAGTGCCCTAAAATTCACTTTAGTGTTTTGTATTGACATTTTGACACTGAAATGGGACCTAAAAAAAATTAGAATTATGACCATTTTATTCTCTAGGGTGTCTGCTTTCAGAAAATATATGTTTAGGGGGTTTTGTGTAATCTTCAGGCCCGAACATTTTTTAAACGTGTGCAAAAGGCTCTGGCAGTGATAGGGTTAAAAGAAGCCATTTCAGAAGCTTACAAAGCGGCCGTCTTAACTCCCCCTACTGGATTGAAAGCTCCTTCAACTAGAGCTACTGCAAACCTCCTGTGCAGAGATAGCTGGTTCCACCCCCCCCCCCCCCGACAGATCTGCAGGGTCGCGACAAGGTCCAGCTTCAATACTTTCACCAAATATCAGTCAGACCTAGCCTCCAATAAGGATCAGGCATTTGGCAGGAAGGTCTTGCGAGCAGCAGTCCTGCCCTAACGACAGCCCCATGGTAAAAAAAAAAACCCACAACCCAAACACCCCTGTAAATGCAATTGCCACAGCAGCTAATCAGCCGTTAGCATGGCTTTTACACGAGAGGGAATCGCTGGCTGAAAAATCTTCATGAAATCTCCACTTCAGGTCATCGCTGGGACGATTACTTCAGGTGACGTTATATGACGACCTATGAGAGGAGAGGAGGGTGGGGTAACGTAGTTAAAAAATGTGCCGGTCTTTAGAAGCACTTGCAAATGCATATTACTAATGAACCATGCCATATTTTAAAGTACATTCTTATTTTTTCTAATAAAAAGCTTGGGGCATAGTAAAAAAAAAAAACAAAACAAAAAAAAAAAAAAAAAAAAAAACAAAAACACAGAAATGACATACCTGCCTCTTTGTACATTTTACAATGTATTTCTTCAGGCTGGAACGAATGAGGTCATATTTCTGCCACATTATGCAGTTATTACAGAGAAAGTAGAAGCAGTGGATGTACCACAATAAGTGTGACACTCAGGCGTACACGGAGAAAAACAAAAATTGTTGGCTTGTTTTTGGAGTGTCTGAAAAAAACATGTAATCTCACAATGTTCATGCAAGTAGTGACCTGGGTATGATTCACACCCAGGGCCAAGAACGAAGGAGTAAGAGAAAGCCACGATGCACTGTTACCTTAAAGATGAGCTCCAGTCATTTTGTGTTTATTAAAAGTCAGCATCTACAAAAATTGTAGCTGCTGACTTTTTTATAAACAGACACTCGCCTGTCGCAGGATCCAGTGATGTGCTCACCTGAGCGGTTCCTTCCCTCATTCTTCTGTCCCTAGCATCTCAACTATGGGCACCGCCAGTGATAGTTTGTGGCTTCACAGCTGGGTGCCCACTGTACATGCATGAGGCGCGCAGCGCAATGTGAATGGTACCGCAGTCTTCTGGGGCCTGTCACGTGTCCCAGAAGACTGCGGGGGAGGGAGGGACAGAGATGAACTTCCACTTTCGAATGCCACCTGTACTGCTGCATTCTCCTCAAAACACATAGTTGTGTTAAAAATAATAGTGTTTAAAAAAAAAAAAAAAAAAGTGAGTAAAGCTCAAAATCCTTAGGATAGCTTTTAGATACATATATGCAAATGCATTGGGAACACTGCACAGTCTATTCAAAATCAAAAAACATTAAGGTTTCAAAATGTATTACTTTGCAGAAAGTAAAGAAAAAGGAATATTGGGCTGTTCAAAAAAATTGTCTTCATTTTTCTTTATAAACGCAAACATTTACTGTATAAAGTGAAAAATGCTTCAAGATTTGCTGCGAATCACTGAATATTAGTTGTATAAGCACTGTTTCTGAGAACAGCTTCACATCTGTGTTACATGGAGTCGACCGACTTCTGGCACCTGTGAACAGGTATTCCAGCCCAAAACTATTGCACTACATTCCACAATTCCTCTGCATTTCTTACTTTTACCTCAGAAACAGCATTTTTTGTGTCACCCCACTGGTTTTCTATTGGATTAAGGTCCAGTGATTGGGCTGGCCATTCCACGTCATTAATATCGATGGTCTGGAACCGTGATGTTGCTTGCTAACTGGGGTGTTTGGGATCGTCGTCTTGTTGACACACCCATTTCAACAGCATTTACTCTTCGGCATAAGCCAACATGACCTCTTCAAGTATTTTTGATACTTTGGATCCCGATCCCTGGTATGCAATAAATAGATCCAACACCATAGTATGAGAAACATCCCCATATTATGATGCTTGTGCGATCATGCTTGACTGTCTTCACAGTGTACTGTGGATTGAATTCAGTGTTTGGAGATTGTCTAACAAACTGTCTGCGGCCACTAGACCCAAAAAGAACAAACTTGCTTTAATCCGTCCACAAAATGTAGCGCCATTTCTCTTTAAATCAGACAATGTGTTCTTTGGCAAATTGTAACTGCTTAAGCACAGTTTATTTTTTCAACAGTGGGACTTTGCGGGGGCTTCTTGCCGATAGCTTGGCTTCACATAGGCGTCTTCTAATTGTTTCAGTAATCAAAGGTAACTTTAGACTTTCTTTGATCACCCTGGAGCTGAACATTGACTGAGTCTTTGCCATTTTGGCTATTCTTCAATCCATTTGAATGGTAGTTTTCGGTTTTCTTCCACATCTTTCTGTTTTTGGTTGCCATTTTAAAAGCATTTAAAAAGGTAATTTTAGCTGAGCAGCCTATCGTTTTCTGAACTTCTTTATATGTTTTCCCCTCTCCAATCAACTTTTTAATACAAGTATGCTATTCTTCTAAACAATGTCTGGAACAACCCATTTTACTCAGATTTTCAGAAAGAAATGCACTATACCCAGCATGTACATTTGCTGCCTTCATCCTTAAATAAGGGCCATCTGAGACCTGTTTTATCACAGACAGAATGACCTTACTAATTGAACACCACACTGATTTTATTTTGAATACGCCCCTTACGATTAATGATTCAATTACACAGAATCAGCAGCATGCATGTCATGACTGTTGGGTCTGTTGGTTTTCTATTACTCTACTACAGTAAATTATTTGCCACCTAGAAATATAATTTATACCAAAAACAGTGATTGATCTGGTTAGTGATCTTTGGACTATTATTTTGAACACAACAGTACTAGCCCACACAGCAAATCCAGAGTTGTCCTGCTGTTTGGGTGCCATATAGCGGGTCCTATGGAACCATCTTGTTCCTCTTCAGCTGGCTGCCTCCTCTTGCTGCAGGCAGCTAACTCGAGTGACATGCCGGACCTGTCCATGGCCCCTATGTGTCGATCCTGCAGTCTACTGGGAGACATGGTGCAAATATTCCTGAAGGCAGAAAGGCATTCTGGCCTAGGCTGGATGGGCAGGTTCAAAAATAAAAACATTTAAGATATTTCCAGCATTTCTGCTTGGGGAGGGAGTGTTAAAACAGAACTAACTCCTTTCTGGAGTCAAGTTTTGCTTTAATTTATAAAAGTGTACTGCATGGCAATGTAGTAGTGTAAAATACATTAGTATTTAATTTTTTTATCTTAAAGTAGCAGAATGTATTAAAACTGCATGAAGTTAAAAGCTCTATCACAGGTTCTCCCAAACTTGTAAATATCAGGCATACAGATCAGACAAGACATTCATATTGTTACACATCACATCAGTGTTTTTCTAAAGTCATGTTGTTTCAACGATTATTTCAAGTAAAATACTCACTTCTGGAATTTTTCCATAAGTTTCTTTACCATCTTGTCAGTAATTCCAGGATACGTAGCTTCTGCCTGGTTCATACTCTTTTCTAATTCTTCAATGGCATTTTTCCTCACGACATTATTCCTGTCTTGCTGTTTAAGCTGTAAAGATAACATCTCAGGTTAGATAAAAGGTTAGAGTATTAGATCACTTTTTCACTATTCGTCAAACAGAGGCCCCCTTTGCAGCGCCCCGCTGCAAAACACGCATGTGCTAGTGCATATATTGCTATATGTCATACAACTCCCTGGTCCTAAAGTGGGCTGCTTATAAAAAGTTTACCTTTGAGAACATGTTACACCCATTTTTAGGGTACCTTAAGCAGCCTCTCCCCTCAGAAGACTGCAGAACAAATCAATAGCTTTGATTAGCGGCTTACAGAGTCTGCTGAACAATTCTGCTATAAATTCATGCTCACTGAAGTGACCATGAGCTTATAGCAGAGGAGGAATGCAGGTCAGTATGGTGTACAGACTTGGCCTGCTGGAAGCAGTGCTGTAGCTCTGTACGCCATATGGACATGGCAGTGAAAGGGTTAAAGCTCCAATAAGGGTTTGTGTAAACAAGACAGCAATGGGCTTAGAGTGAAGAGATGCCTCAAAACCAGAGAACTAATTTCTTGAGTGGCATGAAGAAAATGGTGACACCAATACCTCCGTAAAGGAAAGAAAAACTTAACAGAAAAAAATGACCATCTCTTCTGCCTTAAATTACTGATCAGATTTAATTTGTGGATCTGCATTTCATCAGCAAAACTGTTAAAGTTGACCAGTATTTAGTGAATACTACTGTGTAAAACAACCAATATATAATGTAAGACACCGTAATTAGGGAGAAACTTGAGGCTGAATAACCTTCTCTGTGAGGATGTCTCAGATTATAAATTGTAAGTTGGAAAAGCATCTGATCACACAGATCTTGGTGAGATTAAATAATGTAAGGGCAGAGGAAATAACTAGACCTCAGATTTAAAAAAAAAAAAAAAAAAAAAAATAATATATGAATGCCCATTGAAGTTATATGGGATATTTGCATTCCCTGTGATAGCATTAAAAGTGATCGAGAAAAAAAATGAAAGGGATAGTGTAAAAAGAAAGCACACCCTCGCCCCTGCGTGCACGAGCGTTGACCCTGTGATGGTATGTAAACAGCGGTTGCACCATGCATGTGAGGTATCGTCGCAACCTGCAGATCAAGGGCAGTAATTCTAGCAGTAGACCTCCTCTGTAAATCTAAAATAGTAGCTTGTAAAGGCTTTTAAAACGTTGCCCATGGATATTAAAAATGTATGCAGTTTGTTGCCATTGCACGGGGCATGCACCGTTTTAAAGCATGTCATGTTTGGTATAAAATTTACTCGGCAAACCATCATTTTTATATTTTACCAAATAATTGGCCAATATATTGTGTTTTTGTGCATTAAAAGTAAAAAAAAAAATTTGCGTTTGAAAAATCGCTGCGGGAGTGTTATGTAAAAATTTGCAGCACCCACCATTTTATTCAGTAGAGTGTCTACTTTAAAAAAACTATATATGTTTGAGGGTTCAAAAGTAATTTCTTAGCAAAAAATACTGATTTTTTTTTTCATGTGGAAAAAAAAAAAAAAAAAAAAGTGTCAGAAAAGGCTTGGTCTTCAGATGGTTAGAAGAGTGAATGATGTGTGGCATAAACTTCTAATGCTGGGTATAAAATGCCCCCCACCCCCAAAACGACCCCTTTTTGGAAAGTAGACACCCCAAACTATTTGTTGAGAGGCATGTTGAGCCAATAGAAGAATTCATTTTTTTTTTGCCACAAGTTTTCGGAAAAATGACAAAAGAAAAACACAAAATGTCACTTAAATGATTTATTGCTCACACATGCCATGGGCATAATATGTGGGATTACTCCCCAAAATACATTCTGCTACTTCTCCTGAGTATAGGGGTACCACAGAAATATATAATTTAAATGACAACTTTGTGTAAAAAAAAAAAAAAAAAAATGTTTGTCATTTTCCAAAAACTTGTGGAAAACAAAAAATCTTCCATGGACTCAATATGCCTCTCAGCAGATAGCTTAGGGTGTCTACTTTCCGAAAAGGGGTCATTTGAGGGTGTTTGTACTATCCTGGTATTTTAGCACCTCAAGAAATGTGATGGGCAGTCAAAGTAAAAGCTGTGTAAATTCCATTATCTATACCATAGTTTGTAGACGCTATAACTTTCACACAAAGCAATCAATATACACTTACTGGGATTTTTTTTAACCAAAAACATGTAGCAGAATATATTTTGGCCTAAATTTATGATGAAAATTTAGTTTTTTGGATATTTGTTTATGACAGAAATGATAAAATATTTTTTTTTTCAAAACTCTGGTTTGATGAGATGCTTTTAAGGGCAGAAGACAGATATATCTAATAGACCCAAGATGTCTCAGTAAAGAGAACCTGTCACTGCTCATGCCATCACAAGGGATGTTATTCATCCCTTGCAACAGCAATAAAAGTGACTAACCACTTGCCCATTGCCCTGTAGTAGGAGGTACTACTAGAGGGCGGTAGGGCTGTGCAAAATATATATGTGATTTGCAATTCTGGGTAGGGGGCGCGCACCTTACCTGCACTGCTATTGGCGGCTAGGGATGTCAATCACGGGGTCCTGGCCAACGATTCCCGGCCGCCACTCGTCGGGGAAAGCTGACAGGGGAGAGATCGGCCTGTAAACACAGGTCTCTCTGCTGTCAACAAGGACATGCTGCTTTGTATTTCTCTGCTGTGCAGAGAAAAACAAATCAGCATATCTCCGTAGTAAAACACACATAGCAGGCAGTTAACCCTTTGATTGCCCCATGTTAACCCCTGTCATTAGTACACTGTCAGTGCTTTATATGAGCACCAATCACTGTATTGGTGTCACTGGGGATGTCAGTGACAGTCAGTCTCTCCCCCCCCCCCCCCCCCCGTGTCAGAACGCCTGCCGCAGCCCCGCTATGAAGTCGCTGTATAAAGAAAAATAAAAATTCCAGTATACATACCGCCATTTGTAGACACTATAACTTTCATGTAAATCATGTACTGGGATTTTTTTTTTTTTAAGCAAAAGTCATGTAGCAAAATACATTTTGGCCTAAATTTATGAAGACTTTTTTTTGCTGGATATGTTTTATAGCAAAGAGTCAAAAATATTGTTTCTTTTCCAAAACTGTCAGGGTTTTTTTTGTTTATAGCACAAAAAATAAAAACAGAAAAAGAGGACATGAATTTAATTTATGTACAGTGTTGCATGACAGCACAATTGTCAGTTAAAGTAATGGAGCACCATATTGCAAAAAAATGGCCTGGTCAGAGAGGGGGGTAAATCCTCTGAAGGGCAAGTGGCATAAAAAAAAAAAAGAAAGTAAAAATACATACATACATATATATATATATATATATATATATATATATATATATATATACACACACATTTTTTTTACAACGCCACTGCCTGCCTGTGTTTGCACACAAAGACGAACGCATACACAAATGGTTCAAGCATTGCCTATAGAGTTTTATCATAGTTTGACACCACTCCAAAAGTGTCCACAATTTTAAAGCGCGACATGTTAGGTATCTATTTACTCAACCTATCAGCTTTTATATTTTACCTGAAAATTGGGTATTATATTGTGTTTTTGTGCATTAAAGTGCATGTTATCGCAAAACTTTGCGCTTCAAAAAACTGTACAAATATCATGTGCCAAAAAAAAAAAAAAAAAAAAAAAAGCAACACCCACCATTGTATTGTATTAGGGACGATAGTACACTTGAAAATTTTTTTACCTTAATACGGTGAATGCATTATGGTAAAAACAATGTTCTGCCTTTACAACCACTAAGTTCTGAATCTGGATACAGTTAAACGCTTTCCCACCTTAACAAAAAAAAAAAAAAAAACAAAAAAAACACAAAACTGGCAGGTGCTGTCGAATAACAGTTACAGTACTATTTCACAGCTGCACTAAATAGCATATTATTCCTTCTTTGTGCCAATCCCAATATAAAAATCTCCAGTGTTTTGTAGAGCATAATCAAAAGGGATTTACAAAAGATATATGCACTATGCAATTTAAAAAGCAAACAGAAAACACTTGTGCAGCATAAATGTTTACAATTAAAATATTAGGACTTCCTCTAAATACAAACCGCATGGGAGCCAACAGTGGTTAACACTTTTTAATAAAAACAAAACAAAAAAAGAAAACACCTACGTGTTTATTTAACTATGCTTCAACATAAAAGACATACCTCAGCAAATACCGGGGCAATTATTACAGATAAAGAGCTCAGGGTTTTTACAAGATCTTGATCCTGAAAGGCAAATGAAAAAAGGTTACGCATGTATGTTATACAGATTTATCTAGTTAACGTACCCAAAAAGGACATACCCAAGAAAGACATGACATATATCCATTGTGAGATACAGTTTTTACATATTACACAGATTCCAGTAAGAAAAAAAAAAAAAGATTTTCGTACTTACCAAAAATTATTTTTCTTGGGAGTCCATAGAGAGAGAGGAATTCAGAAACTGCTGGGTTTACTGCATCCTACAGAAGGTTAGGACACTGGCAAAAAGAAAAATTGTAAGCCAGCCCTCATAACACCTTCTATACCCAGCATGCATTAGCATGACCCAAAGGAAATAAATTCTCTCTTGTCCAATAAAGGACAAAGGAATTCAGAAACAGTCAGTACATCCAAAAGCAGTCAGCTAAGCGGTGGGCAACAGTCATTGACAGGACTGAAAACTCTGCAACTCAGGGACTAAGGCTGAAATATTAGAAGATGGCCCTGCAAGACAGGGGGAAAAGCTGCCAATGACCAATGGAAGGCTACAGGACAGAAGAGATCACCGCCAAAGGGGAAAGACTCCACTTGAAGGAACATGAAGCCTGAACCAGAGAGACCATGAAACCAAAACAGGTGCAACATCATAACTACCTAATAAAAAAAGGTAGAAACAGAGCAACAATGTAAAGTGGTAAAACAGGAAATAAAAGTCCGCAGGAGAACAGGTTCAAAGACAGAACCCTTGGACAAAAGCAGGTCCACAAGGCCAGACTGTTTACCTAAGGTCCAAACCTTACACTCCCAACCTTTGGCATTCAGGGAAAGAGAGTTCTATGATAAGACTGAGGTTTATGGCCTCGCAAGCCAGCAACCCCCCAAAAAGTGAAAATTACCAGAGTGTAACATCTTATAACAACTAAGTGACCCCTGAGACTGGTTGGGAACTCAAAACGTACCAATCAAAGTCTGACTGAAAAGAAGTAGGGTGCACAATAGGTACTCCTACAAAGCCAGGCATGGATAAAAGCCATACCACTTATATTGGTGCAAGGGGATAACAGAAGAACCATATCTAATAACACCCAAAGACCTCTCCAAAGCCTGATACAAAAATCTGCAGGATGTCTGGAATGAAGGACAGGAACCACTCTCACAGTGTTAAGAACATTCACCTGATTAAGGGCAGAACCAAGAAAGGATCTGTAGAAACATCCTCAAGAGGCTGCGGAGCAACAACAGAAAAAAGGACCCATCTCTAGATCTTTGGATGATCCCATGAAGGACATTCAGCAGGAATGTGGCTAATCCGCCCACTGGCAACCCATGGGAACACGGAGCCCTCCAGTGATTATTTCTGTCATACAGGATACTAGATGTACAAACCTCTCCCTTCAGCGCAGAGCCCACTGGTTGAAGAGTTCCAGATGCCAATGCATCGACAGGCCACTTGTCCCTTCACATCTTTCCCGAAGAGAAGTCTTGCAACATCTAGGTTATGTTCAGCACAATCCAGTTCAGGAAGCCTATCTACAGAGGGATACCCTGATGAATGGAGGACCGTTCCCTCTGAGAAACCAGACTGCAGTCCTAGGTCAGGGGATAACTCCAAAAAAGAGGTCCTCCCAGGGCAAAAGAGAAGTGTTCACTTAATTCATTCAAAGAGACTGATGGATTACACCAAGAATTTCCTAATCCACACAGATCATTCGGATGTCTTGCCCCAATGTCAGGTCTCCAGCAGTAGCGAGAAAGGTTGAAAGGGACTGAAGGCCAACCACATTAGGAGGGTGTCCCCTCATCATTCCCCTGGACTTGAGAGCAAAACCACACCCACTGATAACTGATCGATACCAATGCAAGGCCCTATCTGGTTGAAGCTTGTGGGTGTAATGCCCTTCAGAACAGTGTCATTTACAAGGATCCAAAAAGCTGACCCCTCTTTCAGGGAGGCTGTCTGAGAATCCCACAATGGGGATACCAGGAAAGGGTACCACAGTAGACACAAGATCCAGTACAAGAAGAAACAGGTTACTCTGAATGAGACCAAAGGGCCATGCCATCAATTAGGGTAGGAAAATCAGAAACAGGTCCCAGCCAACCGAGTAAGTCAGGGACAGTCCCTATGAGGAACAGGGATAATGAGGGTTACCAAGTACCACAAAGGGCTTAACATTACCCAACGATATAGGATTCCCCTGAAGAAGTTAGTGGTTGTCTCGATGGGGTACAACTCCGCCATGTCCTTTCTTGGACAGAGACAAGGAGTTCTAGGGTGGTGGGGAACCCAGCAAGACCTGAGAAGTTACTACCCTCACCTACACTGGGAAGTTACAAAATAGTAAGGGACAACAAAGGATGTGCCAAAAGGTTAGCCCATAGGTTAAAAGGGGTGCCCTGAGCACCCAGATGCCAAGAGGCAGACTACTCAAGGACTTATCTGAATGTACAAACAGCCCCACACCTTGTAAAAATGAACACACCGTAATGTTGAAGGATCTTCAGAGAGGTCAGCTGACTTTGAACTCTAAGGGTTGAGTGGGAGTTGGACGCTGCAGGTCTATTAGTACCTACTACCAAAGTAGATGAAGGGAAACAGTGTAATTTCTTTTTCTCTTCATGGCCACTGTGTTCATGCTTCAGTGTAAGATGTGTAATTGTGGAGTTGCTTTTAATGGTGTCAAAAGCAAATCTGAAGAGACAACTTCTGAGGTTAAGTCAGATGCAGCATCAGCATGCCAACTTTACAGCCATAGTGCTTGGAGCATTTCAGGGACAGCAGTCCTTCAAGGGATGCTTGTAATAAGCCATTGTGATAAAAGCACAAGGACTCCAGACATTTGCTCCAGCTACTCTATGAAATGGGGGCCTGCCCTGGCAGTTGAGGAAATCTACCAATTCTGACACGGTATGAAAAATTAAAGTTACCACTGATAAATGGGGGGCCAGACCAGTCAATTAAAACTGGGATTTACAGATGGACTAACTGAATAACAGTGTAACCTCAAAGATTGAACACTTCCTCAACCAGTTTAGTGGTACTAATGTTAAAGTAGGGCACGGGTGAATATACATTGGGAACAGACCATCAATTTAAACATTTCCCCTCAAAAGGGGAAAATTCTGACACCCAGGTAAACCCTGGACCCCTCTGGGCATTTCCAGTATGGACAGAAGGAAGAATATAAATAGCAGTTGTAGTTTAAAGGTCTTTGCAGATATAGGAGCTCTAAAAAAAAACAAAAAAAAAAAAAAACCTGAGGCCTGGAACAGCAGGCTGACTCTTCAGATACAGGGTAGTATGCATCAATAAGATGTGAAAACAACCTCTTGCAAATCAGGGACAAAAGCAGGGGACTGTGGTTGCTCTGGTTCTTCAAAGATAGAATGCAGGGACTCAATTTGAGTCAGATGACAGAGGCAACAGGCCCAGCTTGATTTGTGGGGCTCAGGAGGGTCAGACAGACTCTGAATGGCAGGGTGCCAGAATGTTCTTACAGCCACTGCAGGAAGAATACCCAATACCTGAGCACAAATATGGGAGAGAACAATAATGGTCTCAGGTTCTGTATTACAGGTGCTGGTTCCCACTGAGGAAACAGAGTAACACCCCCAGAACCATTAGGAAAGTATGTACTGAGGTCACCTGTGGTGGCTGCACTGTCCTCTGTGTCTTCGTGAAGATAGGTTATATCCACGCAGCAGGAATGCAACTAGGCTCAATGTGAGATACTAAAACCCTAAAAGCTGGTGCTGAGGGGAGTTTCAGGTGGCTGGAGGTGGCCAGGACACTGTAGGTGAGCAGTGGAAACAGACCTGAGATTTATGTGGTGCTTTAGGAGCAGAAACCGCAGCAGGATGTTACTGCCTCCAGGCTGAAAGGTGGAAAAGTGCAGAGTGTGTGTGCAGCACTCCACTCATCAGATATTAGTTCTTGGTCACTCAACACTAAAAACTTATTGTGGTAGGAAACATTGGTGGCAGGAAATATGAAAAGGTGTGCACAGTACAATCTATGAGGTAACTCCCGAAGCTTCAGCCCGACTGTATTTACTACGTGAGCCTTCAAAGACAGGGATTTAAGGGGTTGTTCCACAGCTCTTGATCTGAAAAGTGCTTTGTGGCTAATAGTATACAAAAGTCTGAAAAACACCAGAATACAGATCACAGTCCTCACATTCCAGGTTAGCTCTGCACATCTAGCCCAGTGAGGTCAATGTATGGCCTCCAAAGCTAGTGCTGATAAAATAGCTAATATGAATAGTCAAATAGAAACCAGCTCATGCAGCAAGTAATCCTGACTGATGTCTCTAGGTAAAAAAAAAAACCATCTCTTCCCTGTCACCATTTTTCTCGGTGTCAGAAAAACTTCACAGAAGCGATTAAGCGATTCATGCTGATAGCAGAGAAAAGAAGCAGCAAACAGAAATGACACAGTGCTCCTAATGGAGACAAGTACACACTGTAGAGGGATATGTTTTGTTCACATTTCAAGTCTTAGGTTCACAACCACTTTAATGATTTGACAGTTTGTGTCTTGTACTGTACTTCAGGAAGGGATTTTACTGGCTTAGTTGTACAATATGAGACAATGGCTTTTTAATCATTATGACTGGGAAGTCCAAAAGCAGTCTAACTTAGGGGTGGGCAACACCAAAGAATGCCAACAAAAACATAACAAGTCGGACCAAAAAGGGCTCAGACTCAAAGTGGCTTAAAGTACCTTATACCCAAAATCTGAGATCAGAGGAGGTTTAAACATTCACCTGGTAGAACATAACGAATGTGGGAACAGAATCTCCGGTTTCAGCCTTAGATATCTGAAAAACAGATGCCCCGAGGCCTTGTTCACACCATACGTGTAGAAAAACGGATAGAAAAAAACCTGTAGATTTTACTTGCAGAGCCAAAGTTTACATTAGTTTTCATGTTTGTTTCAGTGAGTTTTATACATGTTCCAGATTACTGCACGGAAACATTCTGTACAAGATACTAGTCTTGTGGTATGAACAGAGCACATAGATAACGGTTTTCTTTGTGCACTTGCATAACGTGCAGAAAAACTCACATCTCTGCACATGTGAACAAGGCCTGAGGCTGAAAGGCCCAAACATTTAATAGATCTGGTGGACGGTTTCTTAACAAGGAAGGAGGAACCCTATCCTGCAGACTATAAGCCCTAATGATAAACTGTCTAATCCACTTAATAATGAAGGAATGAGAAGCAGAGAGACACCGGTGAGGATCCTCAGGAAGCACAGAAGGAATCAGACTGCTCAAAAGAGGTAGTAGGACAGACCAAAAGGAAGGGCAACAAATTGGTTATTGCAGATCTCCCACAGCAAAGTAAATATTGCACTGAAGCGATGACTATCTGGCAGTTTCCACACGGAAGTTAGGCCAGACCCCACCGTTTTGTTTTGGAACGGAAATGTTTGAGCAAAAAACCTTGAAAACATTTTTCCTTTGGTACAGCAGTAATTACCCCTTGAGATAAGAGCTGCTGGACAACAAGCAAATCTGCCCCTCATGACAAAAGAGAAGAGTTTCACAGTATGAAGAAGGGAGGAGGGAGAGTGCAAAATGCCTACTTGTAAATGACTTGGAAATGACAAACTGGACTTAGGTGTCTGGGACCAAAAGGCTGACAGACATCCTCTTTTGAAGTGGGTGTGCCCATCACTCGGAAAAGACCTTTGAAACAAAAAGAAACCTTTCCTAACCCAGGTCCTACTGGTAGGAGGCACAAGCATTTTTTCAGGGTGAGGAGACTACTTTTACCCTTCTGATCTCTATGATGTACCTATTCAAGGAGGGACAAAACAGGTATTTGCCTATTACGACTTCAAAACACAGGATTATCTTCCACAAGGTCAAGATTTTGGTTGGATCTACCACAAGAACCACCCACTCATGTGGGAAGCTTTCCTTACAGAGAAAATGTTGAGTGACGCGTTTAGGAGGAAAACATTCTTGTCTGGGTGAGACCAGTCATACAGGACAGGCTCTACCAACAAGCAGACTGGGAAAGTCCTGGCTGGTTTAGGTTCTTGTAAAGGACTCTGTGCAAAGCATGGATGTATAGCATCAATAAAAAAAGTAGCTATAGTATCCTTCAATTTAGATGAAATCTACAGGTGTGCCATCCTGATCAGATTCCTCAGAAGAATTAATTCCCAACTGCTACCTCCTCAGGTAACTTTTCTAAGCTCAAGGGAGAACAGAGACAAACTGAGGGGAGTTTGAAGGGGTATGGCTATGATCCCTGCTGTCTATGGTCAGAAATTCTGCCTATTAAACCATACCTTAGCAGAAAATCCCTCCCCCAGAGGGGTACTCACAACCTCTGCAGCAGTAGAGAAGGAGGGGGAATGGCCTGGCTGCCAAGCACTGTAAACCACAATAACCTAGGTAGTGTAGAAACAGTCACTATACATGCCTGCAAGAGCCAGGACATGTTCCCGATCCAAAGTCCTGCCCGAAAAGTGAAAGAGGCAGGGTGCACAGCCACGGTAACACCACTGAAAACGAGCCCATAGTAAGTGCCTGGTTCACACATGGATACTAGACACCACATTGGGGGACTGATGCAAGCACAATAGCACTAATAAAACTGCACTGTCAAAAAAAAAAAAAAAAAAAAAAAAAAGTGTGTCAACTTTAAATCAACTCCAGCACTCCTGACTCCCTGCTGTGACTGCCAGAAAGGTGGTTTGTGACTTCTACACATCCCAAAGGAAGTCAGAGAATAAGGGGGCTCGCTGAGCTGAATTTTTAGACACCACTATGTACTCACCAGAGATATAGTGGGTAGAATTAACAGGGGGATAAAAAGCCCATCCTGGTGTCACCCTTCACAATGGGAATAACCCTGCAGGGGACTTCAGGGGCAAAGCTCTGGCACAGAAAGCCCATGGCCCTAAACCTGTAAAGTACCCAGCAGCTAACTCCATGAGTGGCAGTACATGCCGAGGGGTGCACCTGCAGCTGTGCTTGGCAACCCTTTAAAGCCAGCCGCATGTCCTTCAACTGCCTGGGTCCGGAAATAGCCCCCCAAGTTTCTGCCAAGGAGTCAACAGATTTGATGTAGGGGGTTGCTGGGGAGATGTCCTTTCAGCTTTTTTTTTTTTTTTTTTGCGCGATAATGTTTAACTATTACGACTGAGTTTTATGCGGCAACCTTCAGGTTGTTATAGAGCCCGTGACCTGTACTATACGACTAAATTGGAGAGTTAGGAAATACAGAATACTGGGGTGCCGTGAAGAGGCTCTGTAGCTTACATATGTATTTGCAAATGTGTGCTAACTAAACCAGTTTTTAACGCACGCTCTTAGACAGCGTAATTCGGTTTGTTTGCAGGCTGGCAAGTTAGAGCTGGGATTTTTTCTTTTTTGTTGTTTGAGATATGTCACCCTTCCATGTGCTCCTTGCTGTGAAGGCCAGTAAGACTGGGGCAGTGGCCATTTTTTTTATACGACTCAGAATTAGACCTATTTCAGCAAAGCTAAAGAAAGGGTGTAGAACCTCCTAGGACACTAGCAAGAAAACGAAGGTGGCAGTATAACTCTACTGTTTCTGGATTCTTCCATCCAAAATTAACTACTGGCAGAAAGTAGGGTGTTCTAAAATAACCAACATTAAAATCAATACATATAATACAGTAAGTAAAACCTTTACCTCCTTCCCATGTAGAGGGAGAAAAAGCAAAAAGTGTCTTATATGACCTTACTTAGTCACCCCAAAATAAGCACTGTCATACCAAAAAAAAAAAAAAAAAAAATCAACAGAAACCAGCAATGTAATCCTACTACTACATTAACTGTTATGCAAACAGATTCTCCTATCTGAAAAGTGAACTTTGGCTTTGAGTTGAACCGCCCCGCTCTATTACATTAATAAAAAAAAATATTCACTTGTGGTATTCTTGTTCTCAAATACTTTTTTGATTATATTTTTGGGGTAAATATGTGAGGTTGTACTAAGAGTATATATGGACCCCCACCTTGTAAAACAACCCAGTTTAAAATGGAAATTAATTTGAGGGATACCCTCGGTTCTCAGTTGCATAAGGATCTTAAGAGAGCTAGGGAAAGAGGCATTAGCACACTGATCTTCCCAGTGTCAGCACAAGTCTGATCACTGGAGGAGAGCAGGCTGAGTTCTCTTAGCACAGCTAGAAAACTGACCACACTGTGATCTTCAGCCTAGTGTGATCAGTTTTTAGTAGGAAAGCAGAGGGATTGGCTGGAACACCCAGGATTTCACACAAAGGAAGCAATACAAAGCACATGTTCCCTTTTCATACAACTACATGATACAGCAGGCACATATCAGGAATATGAAATTTTAGATTGATGTTTTTTTAAGTAGAAAAACTAAAAATGTTTAATTTCTTAAAACTAATTGATTAAAAAACAAATGTATTCAAATCTGCTACATATGAAATTTCTCCTTCCTACACGCCACAAAAAAAAAAAAAAAATGCATAAACCCACTGGAACAGCCAACAAACTTACCAAGTATACAGCTTCTTTGTCTTAATCCTTGTTTTTGGCCATGTTTAAACCGCTATTAAACCCAAAGCCAAAAATGTAATATATTGCAGTTTACCAAATCAGATGTTTTGGCTGCATCAGTTTTCCTTTTCTTTGGCTGTTTCCCCTCTGTTTTCACCTGGTGATCGGGCCAGTAACACACATCCTGTATTAGTGAGACACCACTCTGGATGAAGGAGCACAGGAGGCACAGCAGACAACAGTATTGTCAGTCTGGGGAGAGGGCAGTGTTAAATGTAGATTTAGATGTAGATTTTTATATACAACAAATATTTGAAGCCAAACTCCAGCTCACAGTTTATAATCAGTCACAGCAACAGTTTCTTTCCTTTTGGGATAAAGGTTTTACATGAACAAAAAGAATTATTTTATTCAACCCTGCCAGTGGTAAATTGATTGTCCCATCTATGTAAACTGAAACATTCTGCTGGTGTGCTTGTGGTTCTAAAAAACAGACTTGGTAGCTGGATCACCAGGTGAAAAAAGAAAAAAAAGGAAATACAGCCATCAGACTAAAAAAGGAAATACAGCCATCAGAACCGGTAAGCTGCAATATGTTTGCTTTTGAGATGTGTTACTGCATTAAACTAGAGCCATATCTGCTGCCGTAGGTTTCCTGTTTTGGGAAGGTTCCTTTTTTTGGTGCAGTTTCCTATGGAGCCACCTTTACACGCAGGGACCAAAGCTGTGTCCTCTTCCCCCCAAACCCTACACTGTGTGCATCAAAAGAAAAATACAGCCATGTAAGGCTCTCCACTTCTCCAACATAACAGACTAACTGGAGACTGCATTTTCCTATTAATTCTTTCATGTGAAGGCCAGAAATTAAAGTGAGCAGCACATAGCAGGAGCCAGCAGTATTAAAAGCTGTACAGTATAAGCACTTAAGAATTTTAACAAATAGCTTGCTGGGGAAAAATGTTATTTCGTTGAACGTGTTAATACTACTTAAAGTGAAAATATAGAACATAATGTGGAAAGCACACTTATTTAAAAACGTAAAACAAAGAGAAAACACTTTAAAAAGGGATGACACTTACTGTCCCATTCTGCAATTTTTTGGGGTCTGGCTTCTTTCGGACTGTGGTGAAGTTCCATTCAGGATGAGAATGATTCTCTTTGTTGTTGGACTCTCTGCAAAAATCAGGAAGGTCATATTTCTGTAAGAGGAGTTTCTATACACAGAGGTACTCTTTCATAAGGCATTATATTTACACTGTGCTGAAATGAATGTAGGCGTTTCTGGGGATAGACTGGGTATTTCATAACCACGCCCACTGGGAACAGATAACAGTCTGGGGCAACAACAAAGCCTTTATGATGAAAATTGAAAACCCTTTCTAATAAAAGAAAAGCAGCACTTAGTTAAATATTGCTTATGGGTGGACTGACACGTATAACCAGAGGACAACACACTGGACCGGGCTGCAATACAACTTAGGCAGATATGGTAGTGAAAAAGAAAAAACAGAGGTTTTGAAGAAATATTCAAAGCAGATCTATAGGCAAAACTTTTTTTTTTTTATTTTGAATAGAAGGGAGTGTTATATTTGCCATCTGTATCCCACTGGGGAGATTTACCTCCACTTCCTATCCCTTATTCCTCGTACACACAATGAGAAGATAAGACGAATGATCATTTTTTTTTCTTTTTTGGAGGCTAGTCTCATATCGAAAACCAATAGGTTACAGAAGTTATGACAAAATACAACTTGGGAACTGATGTAATGTGTTGTATTGTATTCTTTTGTTTGCAAGCATGCGTAGTCGTTGTCTTCAAAGTTTTTTTCCAGACGAATACTGTACTGATCAAACGAAAATAGTTCTGGTACTGTATGAGAAAAATTTTCATGATTGCCCCTTTGAATAATTTCACATGAACTGTCAAGATCGGCTCTTGAAATCTATGTACTAATGATCAGATTATCGTAAGAATACGTTGAAATCAGTATTTTATGCCTGGTTTTCTGATCATGTATACTAGGCTTTAGCCACAACAGGATGTGAGAGGAAATCCCTGCAAATTAAGAGAATACCTTGGGGTCCCCAGCTCATCAGACCTAGAGTGCCCATTGCAAGATTTCCTATTACTTTTTTGGGGACAAACCATAATTTGGGACTTTTACTTTCACTTTCAATGATAACCGTAAACAGGACAAATAAGGTAAATCTCCCTAATGGGGCAGCAGACAGCAATAAAAACCAAATTAAAAAAAAAAAAAAAAAAAAAGTGTTAACCACTTTAGCTCCAGAAGGTTTCATCCCCTTCATGGACCAGGGCATTTTTATTTTTAGCTATTCAGTGCTGCGCTACTTGGGTGGTCATGTGAAATGTGCAAATTAAATTTATATAATTATTTTCACACAACTATAGTTCTCTTTTGGTGGTATTGTTAACCACGGTTTTAAGTTTTAATTATATAAAAAAAAACCTGAACATTTCAGAAAACAATATATTCCACTCTGTTATAAAACATACCCAATTAAAAAAAAATTAAAAATCAAATGTCTTTATTAATTTAGGGCAAACTGTATTCGGCTACATGTAGGTATATATAAATTGCTTTATGCAAAAGTTATAGCATCTACAATCTATGGGATATATACAGGAAATTATGCAATTACAATGCTATTCTAGTAATGGCAGTGGTCAGCAACTTATTGTGAAACTTCAGTAGTGTGGTTGGCAATCTGGCACTAGCTCATGCTGACTGGGAGGTACACTGACATCAATAGTGACACTAATACAGTGATCAGTGCCAATACTATACACTCAAACTAATGACACTGGCTGGGAAAGTTAAAATCTAGGAGCAATCAAGGGGTTAATTGTGTGCCAATGTGTGCTACATTTACTTTAATATATGGCTTTTTTTCAGGGAGCAAAAAAAAAAAAAAAAAAAAAAAAACAGCCAGATCATTGTTCCCTGCACACATTTTGTAAACACAGGACTGTTTGACTGGACACAGCCAATCATCTGATTTCAGCCAAAATAATTGCCTGAAAGCTGCTATAATTGTGCGGTTTCCAATCACAGCATGGGTAGGCAGGGGACATATATGCGTGTGCCAGCAGACCTGGAAGTAGGCAGTTACATGTATACACACACACGACTGAGCCTGCCCATGCAGCTCGGGCACAGTACATTTACGGGAAATGGTTAAAGTATAACAAAAAGCAACAAAATGGTGAGGAAGCAGAACACTTCAGGTTTTTAGTGCTGTGTGTCCCTGTGAAAGTAAAAGAAAAAAAAATCAAAACTCAACTTATGGGTTGTCCCCAGAACAGGAACAGAAGGGAAACCTTTCAATGGGGATACTAGTTCTGGTGACAACCAGGATTTCCCTAATTTTGGAGGGATTTCCTCTTACTTCCTGTTTTGGCTATGGGACACAGATGGTAACCCCCCCCCCCAACCCCCTAAAGAAGAAAAAAAAAAAAAAAAAAAAAAAACCTAAAATGGGTCATAACACTCCCTTACACTATCTGAAATTTAAAAAAAAAAAAAAAAGTTTTGCTGTGCGTTCAACTTAAAGCCTGGGTTCACACGTGCGGGGCCTGCTTTGCGGTGCGATTCCAAATTGTTACAGAGGATGACACCGGAAATCACACCTGAACCAGACTAAAATGGCACAGGATTCTTTTACAGATCACACTGAAGCCAGCCCATTAACTGGCTCCACAGTAAACCCTTTTGGCTCATGTCATGCGAGTCAAAGCAGTTCAAAACGCATCCGAATTCATATATATATATGTTTTTTTTTTTTCTTAAAGATCATAGTAGTAATACTTACGTATCAGAATCATCAGAACCAGAGTCACTATGACCCTCAGCCTTCCATCGTTTAAATCTGTCGATCAGCTCTGTTAGGTAAGATGTTCTCTTGGCATTTTTAAGAATAAATTTGTGCTTAAGAAGTTCTTTGGCTGTAGGTCGCTGAGGGAAAGAGAAAAAAAAAAAAAAATCTAAGCCAACATTTTTTGCTACATTAAAAAAGTATCATGCCCAAAGAGGACAGATTTTGCACATGCAATCTGAGTATACAGTTCCTCACTTTAATTACTGGCACATCTGAAAACAGTTATTCTTTCAAGATCACCATTCGCACCAGCAAAGCAACGTCCATCTTTAAACTTACATTGGTGCATCCATATTTTACAGCTTAAAGCACAAGTTTAGACAAAAAAAAACAAAAATAAACACCTTACGTGAATCCGGTGTCTTCCTTGTGATGTGTTCCCGATATAATATAATGCTCCAGTGGGGCAGGGGTTAACAGATTAGAGGGAGCAGTGACAGGAACTCATGAGTTCACAGAGTGCAGCCATTCATACAAGCTGTGCTACAGTTTTTTTTTATGTATGAAACATGATCTATGGATAAAAGGCAGACCTTTCAGTCACCTACCCTCCACCCATAGAAGCTGTAGTAAAGCTTCTATGAATAGTAGAGCTGGGTGTACATTCTTTATGAGCGACTGTTACAGCTTCCTCAGCTCTACTACCCCTCGCTGTGCTGGAAGATTATGGTGGCAGGGATGTGGGGGGTTCAAGGAATGAAGGAGTCAGTAGCACCAGGGGTATATTGGGTTACTAGTATATTATTTTCCTTGTGCGGATTTGTATTTTTTGCCCAAATTAGGCCTTAAATTTTAAAGTGAACTTGCAGTACCTAATCTAGCAGTCTTACAAACACAAATCAGGAATTTCCAGCTTTCTGGATGTCTGGATCATTAGTAATGTAAGCTCCCCACGTGCCTGGAATACCTGCTATGTACATACTTCTAAAAGCCTGGGCCCAACTACAGGCCAGCAAGATTGGTCATTACTTCAAAAAGCCTATATGGAAGTGTGTGGGGGGGAAGACGATGAAAATATCCAAGCATTCTGGCCAGCCTAGGTGCTTCCACGGAGATCAGACCAAAAGACTAATATGTGCTAGTGCTTTGAGCTCTTCTGGGGTGCTCCACTGGTGATCTTGACTCCTCTTATGTGTCTGCCCCTATAGCAAGTGCTTGCTGAGCCGAACTAGGTCACACATAGTTCGGCTCGGTGCCAATGGCTCCTGCTGCTCTCAGCCACAGTTGTGAGAATGGGGGGTGTGGCACAGCAAGCGAGAAAACATTTACCTTAATGCAGGAATAAAGATGTTACAGTAGACACAGCATTACAGGTTTGAGATTTTAGTCTACTAGGCAAAGGTCAACAAATTCCTGGATCTGGGTAGCAGATATATCTAAATATTACAGCTGACAGCTACTACAGTATGTTTTCTTTGATCCCATGTCTAACAGAAGTACATGCCTTGGCTATGAAAGGAAGCCCAGAAGACCAAATAATGAGTTATCAGGCTTACAGGTATTGTGTCTCAAAAATTCTCCTCTACGGAAACAAAGTACTCCACTGTAATCCCATCATTTCCTCCATCTAAAAGGCTGTTGCCATAATATGTTCAGGCACCATACATAGTTGGCATCTGCTTTTTGGATGGAGATGGTGACCCACGTAAATGCTGGTGTTTGTGCAGTAGCCTGTATGGTCTCATCTTGGTGAATTCTTTGTGCTGTGGTGCCCCACCCCTTGTGGCCTCTCACAAAGTTAGAATTTATAATCTGTTTACATGGGAGCACTCACTGGGGGAGGTGTAAATGCAGAAAAATACCCTCCTGCCTGCAGCAGACAGATTACAGTCACAATTCGGCCAGCCAGAAGTAAAGGCTTTCTATTTAGACTGCTAGCTTCCAGATTACGGTTACTGCAGCTGCTGATTGGGAACAAATTTCCAACATTCCTGTTTGAGCGGGCAATGGGTCAAAATTCAGCTGGTACCTGCTGAACTGGCAGAATTTTTAACCAATTTACGGCCAGCTTTAAGCACTGGTGGCAATTCAGAAAATTGCTGGTAATCCCTTTACTTGTTTTTTAAATTGTTGGCTCATGCCTACTCTACTATTCTGCTGTTTGACAAACACATTATAGATCTCGTTAAATAACTGCAGGCTTTTTTTCTTCTCCTTTGAGGGAGTGTTGATTGGAGGATATTCACTGAGCTTGCTTTGGTAGAGAGATACAATTTACTTTTTCTTTTAAATCTGGATGGGAATATACTGAAACGTTTCATACTGGTATGTAAAAATAGGAATACTTGGAAATTTAAGAAAAAAAAACAAAATCCCCCCCACCCCCTTTCTTTCATCTGACTTTTTTCATGGTCCCTCCAAACAAAAATTCTTTATATTATTGTATACATATCCAGGAATTTGGAATATAATATGTACTAATGCAGATACATTTCTTCTATTGATGGACCCTGCTGAAACAGCCAGACTTCAATCCCAACATGGCCAACTTTAGGAAAAAAGGCTCAGAAGACATAGGTAAAACATATTGACCACCATCTGAGAATTCTGGCTGCCTGGATGTCAGAGTGGCTTCTGTACTTCCTATGCCACTGACCTGTTTAAACAAGTCTTGCAGACTCTTGCTCTGAACTTGTTCTATGTCACCAAAGATTCCAGGCAACTTGCTCATTTGGAAATAGGTACGCAACGGCTACCTCTATTTCTTTCATGACAGGTGTCCTTTATTGCCAGAAATATATGAGCTGGCATTTGAAAGGTACAGCATTTGAGAATACACGCCAATATGAAAATTAGATTTTTCAATCCTTTAGAATGAGTGTAAATAAAGTCCATTTGTGTGAAATCTGTTAGATGCTGTTGAATTTACTACTCTAAGGCTCCATTTTGGAAAACACTGTACTACATTAATAATCTGGGAAAGTCTATACAGTCATGAATGCATTTGGTAACATTCACTGTAAGCCTTCATGAACATGGCAAAGTTTAATCTTGAGTATTTGCTAAATACAAGTCCTAGAAATTGCTTGGAATGTCAGGAATAATCCATCCAAAGTGGAAGTTCTGGCATGTAAAATGGTTAGTGACCCCAAGAAAAACATTATCACAGAAAAGGTAATTATCTAATAGATGTATGATGCACTTTAAAAAACACACCCCAATTTTGTGGTAAACCTTGCATCTCTTTAGCGTATTAAATACAGAGCTATTCAAAACAGGATTTAGCATGTTTGATAAGCCTCCTCCTCACATGCTTTAAAGCACCTCTACACTGGTTTGTGTCTGTGCCCATAGACAACCAGCTGGGGTTGATGCACTCCTCTCCAGTCTCTTCCAAGATATTCACTGTTCTTTTGACTTGCCTGTAAAATTCTGTTGAGTATAGTACAGGACAGGACAGTACAGGACATTCCATTAATCAAGACTACAGGTTATATGCTGCCACCTTCAGGTGAGGACCCTCCAAGTTGTTAGTAAGGACCATATAAGCCCTCCCACTCTCAGCAATCTTGTTTTGTGCTAGTGTCCTTTGGAGGTGGACATACCTTTCTCTACAGGGAACATTTCCTGGCTTATAATTTCAATTTCTACCTTGAAGACTATGTACTGTTATTCGCAAGAACTCCTTTCTCCGCCTATCTGCATCTATAGCCACTTCAGCTATTTCTTGCAGTTTGATCATCAGCGGCCCCTTGGCAGTTCCACAGGGAATAGTACCTGGACCCCAATGAATGGAAGACACTGGTCTGGCCTGTAACGTTGCCTCTAGCCTTAGCACTCATCCTTGGTACAGCACACTGAGCTGCAATTGCCCACGGGAAACAATCACCCCAGTTTGGCTTTCTACTTCTTTAGCTAACTGCAGTGAACTTGCATGACAAATTTCTAAAACCTTTATCAGAAAATGCTCCTCGAGGTGTTAACTTTCGTGGACAGCCTGGACATCTGTGAGATGGCTGCAGTTCCATTTTTGTTAAATTTGTGTTCACTTTTGCTACAGTATTCTGACTGATAAGTAAAGCTTTGCTGATCATCTTGTAGCCTTCACCTTTGTGTAAAGAAATTATTTTCTTTCTCAGGCCTTGTGACATTTCTCTTCCATGTGGTGGCATTGCTGACAGCATGAAATGGGAAGCGGTTTTCTTTAAGTAATGCCCTTTTATAAACAACTGTCTGCTGGACACCTATTTAATTAATAATTAGGCTCACCTGTAGTTGAATTCTTGTTACTTAGGATTTTGTTGTCTAAAATTTAGCTTTCCTCCTAAGCTTTATTGGGGTGTATTCATTTTTGCAACATGGTCTTGAATTAATTTGTTAGGAAAAATAATCTGTGTACAAATTAACAAATCTTGTTTCAATCAAGGACCCGCATTTGTAGGTGTGTTTTGTAGTATAGTGTATCATAGAAAATGTTGATTCTGAAAGGACACTAAAAGGTTTTCTAACAAATCTGTTTGGGTGTACTCATTTATGCTGAGCACTGTATATACAGCAGGTAAAATAAGGTTGTGAAGGTCGAGAGAGCTCTTTGCTTTTACTCATCATGAGGCATTTGTGTGAGACCTTGAGAATGAGACATCTTTTCATAGGCTAATCAGTTGAGACTGAACCAGCTGATATTAATTAGCACTGACAAGGGGCAGAATTTCTCTTTAATTACTGATAGTTTTCAGCTGGTGTCTTGGATTTCCATGTCTTCATAACTTTTTCTCGGGGTCATTACATTTTATTACACATCATTTTTTTTTAACTTATTTGTTCTGGTTTCTTTGTATGTATGGATTGCATGGACTGTCACCGTTTTAACCGACATGTGAAAATTTCATGGCAATAGCACCTTTAGAACTATATTTACCTACAAAAATGCTGACATGTTCAATACTTATTTTACCAGCTGTGCGTAGATATATATTTGTAAAGCTTCCCCACTCCCTCTGTAGAGAAGAGCCCATACATAGGTTGCGTGCGGACACACACGTGAGTTATCGACACAAACGTTTTAGCAAGAGTAATAATTTTAGGACAAGACCTCCTGTGTAACTCTAAACTGGTAACTAGTGAAAGCTTGTACAGCATTGCCTATGGAGATTTTTTAGGTACCATACCTTGGCACTGTTTTACAGGTGTACGCAATTTTAAAGCATGCCATGTTAAGTATCTATTTACTCAGCGCAGCTTCTTTTCTTTTTTACCAAACAATTGGGTATATGGTTATATGGTGTTTGTCTGCACTAAAATTAATTTTAAAAAAAGTGTTGCGCAATCATCGCGTAACAAAAAAAAAAAATTTGCAAAGCCATTATTTTATTCTCTAAGGCCTCTTTTTAAAAAAAAAAAAAAAAAAAAAAAAAAAAAAAAGGTGTGTAAATTTTATTTCTAGCAAAAAAGTGAGGATTTTTACATGTGGGAGAGAAATGTCAGAATTGGCTAGTAAAATACAAAAACTTTTGCTATTTATTTTTTATTCTGCTGTTATAGGGTTTGCAGGGACATCATTTTTTTCTCTTCTCCCCTTGAGAGAGAGCAGAAAAATTATTTTTAGGCAATGTCACAAGCTGGGAGCAGGTATGTTTTGCTATTGGTGCCTGCATTATGACATACTCCGGGGGTTAGCAACCAGTAGATTGTGATCTACCAGTAGCTGCTGGCCAGGTGACTGGTAGATCTCGGTTTGGGCTTGCTGACCCAACATCCCAAAGCATCAAACAGAGTGCAATGCAGAGGAACTACGTGTAAAGTTGGAACTGTAGTAAGGAGCAAGAGCTGCACAAGTTGATGTCCTCTGTAGGGCTGCTCCTACGCCCTGTCATGGTTGGTGGGTGTAGCACCAGCCAAGCATGACCCATTCAAGTGAATGAGGCTGCTCTGCAACCTTGCGCAGTACAGCAAACAAGGGGTTAAACAGGCTGCAGTGTTTTGCCCTCTCACCGCCTGCTTCAAGCCCTTGAACCATGGGCACTTGCAGAGTGGCCCACTACTTGAATGGGTCTCTGACAGGCGCTAGCACCTACCAGAAGCAAAAAGGGGTGTGATTCCTGCAGCAGCATGTGTACATCTTTGGCTGCTGCTTCACTAGCTAAAGGGGGTAGGGATTGGGGGATGGTAAAACCCTGATTCAACTGCAGGGTTTTACCAACCACCAACTTTACATTTGAACAAGCCCTTAGGGTTCCACTGCCTATTACAACTAAGGACTCATTCACAGGTGCAGTAGGCACTGCTGCTCCTCTGCAAAGCGATCCCAGGGCATTTGGCACGGTGGTGAGGAGGCGATATATTGCCTCTTCATCACCTGGTTTAAACCCATGATTACCGTGCCATGCACGCGATTGTGATACGGTAGTATGGCAATTAGAGGTTTCAGACAGGTGTGAGGAGGATACACTATGCCCGATGATCTTTCACTTCACCCATGTTGTTCAGGTAGACCTCCACCTCTGAGGTCGCCTGCCCCTGACAGACTGTTATTGGGTTCCAAAATGTAACAAATGTATTAGTCAAATTCCTAAAACTTTGCTTACCCCAATACATACAAAGAATTAATAAAGATATATAGACCCCCACTATGCCACACAAAAAAAATTGTATTTACTACTTTTGGACTAAAAGTTCCCAAGAAGAAAAGGCAGATTTAGTTGGCATAACACAAGGCAACTTCATAAAAAACACACATTTTTATTTCCACAGAGTTTAAAACATACATTTTATAAAAACAATGCAGCACCATCTAAAAATTATGTCTGAGATCGCAAAACACCCAACCCTGAGATGGAGTCTGGAATAGGCATACATTAGAATCATATACCAAACCCTGCATAATTGTATAATTTAATTGCAACATAATTGGGTTCTCTGTGTATTACCACCGGCATCTCGATACTCAAATTGTCTATGAGTTTCGCAAACTCATTGTGTTGCATCGTTTTTATAAAATTTTACGTTTTAACTATATGGAAATAAAAATTTGTGATTTTGAATTTGCCTCGTGTTATACCGCTAAAATCCGCCTTTTCTCTTGGGAACGCTCAGTCTCAAAGTAATATATACAAAGGATGCATTACTAAAGTAGAACTATTAGTGGTCCTTAAGTAGAACTATAAGCAAAACCTTTTTCATTTTGGACAGAGTAAGGGAAGGTCATAACCACCCCTTGTCAATGTATTTTTTGCCATTTGTGTCCTATTGGGAATAACTCCCTCACTTCTTGTCCCATAGCCAAAACAGGCAGCAAGAGGAAATTCCTGCAAATAAAGGGAATCCCTAGGGGACCCTCAGGTAACCAGAACTAGTGTCTCCATTGGAAGATTTCCCCATCTATTACTTTTTGGGGGACAACACAAGATTTGGGATTTCTTTTACTTTCAATAATGGTAAACAGGACAAATGGAGAGTGTGTGTCTCCCCCCTCCACTCTATCCAAAAAAAAAAAATAAAAATTTTGTAATTTAAAAAAAAAAATAAAAAATATATATACTTACAAAGGAGGGATCTTTGTTGAGGCAGGCATCAACAAACTCTTTAAATGGTTTGCTAAAATCTCCTGTTAAGGTGGGTGGGTTATTTTTAGGGATAAGAAACAGTACCCTCATCGGATGCATATCGGAGTTTGGTGGTTCACCTTTTGCTAGTTCGATCGCTGTAATACCCAATGACCAAATATCGGCCTAAAAGAAAAATAAATAAATACATTAAACAAGAAATTACACATCAAAAGTGAAATTTAATTTTAGCAAGTGTATAGTGTGTATTCAGTACTGTTTATTGCTCATGAAGCATCCTAACTCCAAAAAGGGTGGCAATTTCATTTTCATCAACAGGTGGCACTGAAAACAGAGGACCTTATAAATGAGTGTTCACAATGGCAGTTTTCACTTAATGTGACAATAGTTGTCCTGTAAAGGAAAAAAAAAACACTCCGACTATGGAGCAATATATAATTATTAAAGATGAGATATTGAACATCAAACCAGGGAATAGCTGTGGCCACTAGTGAAATAATACAGGTGTTTACTTTGACAGATTCACTTTAGCTAGAAAAACCAGCTCTGATTTTTTGTGTGCAAACATACTGAAATGTTAATATGGAATTAGCCAAAAATTGTAAAACAGTTTTTTATTGTTGCTGTTCATGGTGGAGATTTCTCTTTTCTTTCTCACCACTGGGACAGAAGTGAGGGAAAACGTCTGACAGGCATGTAATCGTAACAATTTTTGACTGGAATTAAACAGTGTAAGACATCGTAAAACGGTCAGTGTTCGCACATTACTTCCATTATGAAGCTAGAAAGATTTATTTCTTACGTGTGGTTGCCTACAATGCTGATCTACACAGCTAAATATCAGTGGTATGTTATGGTCTTAAATAGGGTGCCAGGCCCTGCACTCCAATTTTAAACTCCAGTGGCCAGACCATTTTTACAGTTTTTCCATTGCTTTTCTATTTTTCACTTACAGCTCTCGGGAGTTTGTAAAAGACCTCCCAAATGATACATTTTCCAAAAGCACATGACCAGTAGAAACAGAAGGTGCTACTGATTTTTAAGGCACCAAGGTATTTGTGCGAATGTTTATCAAAACAATATTTTCACACAGCAAATTTTTAAAAATTCCTGCTACATTTCTACTAAATATAAAAGCTAACCAGTATTGAGTCAATAAATATTTGTAAATTTCAAACTGTGACTTTTTTCGAATTGGTGAAAATTGGAGTTGCGCAAAATTGTAAATAACCAGTTTCTCGAAAAATAAGGATTTCACGTTTCCCTTAGAGCTTTTAGAGTTTGTAAAAAGCCCCCTAAAACCATATATTTTCTGAAAGCACATGACCTGTAGAATAAAAAAGTTGCTACTAATTTTTTTAGGCCCAACAAGTAGATGTGCAAACGTTCAAGTCACTATTTCTACTAAACACACTAAAATCCTTAGCTGGAATTGAGGAATCTTTTATATTATGTTTGTGTGCAAATAAGGACCCGTTCACATGGAAGGCTGTGTTTATCCGCATGGAATGCAAAGGTGTTCTGTGCATCCTTATGCAGATATTCCCATTTATGTCAATTGGGATGCAACCGCTGCAAAAAACAGAGCCGCTGCTCCCAATCTGACATACATTCGGGTATAGGTGCATGGCCCCAAACGCAGAAAAAGTTCAGGAACATACACCCCTTGTGATGTCAAGTTGGGAGCAGTGGCTATGTCAATGCAGCTGCTGCTGGGGCAGGAGGTGAATGAGAGAATACCTGCTAGCTTCTGATGCAGGGAAGGGGTGCAGGAGGATCAGTGAGGTGGGATCTGTTTGGACAGCTAAAGCCCCCCCCGTAGCCACGGGAGAAGGGGGGGAAATTGCTGCTGGGGGTGAAGTGGCAGGGAAAGGGGACATTAGATTAGATTTAGATGTAAACAGTAGGTGGAGAGACATGAGACAGGGCAGAGAAGCGGCTGGAGTCATTTTGGGCGAGTCGCTCTGATCAGTGGTTTGTCAGCCACCAATCAGAACTTTCAGTTAGTTTAGCATAGTCTGTTATACATTCATGATCACTGAAGTGACCATACGCTTATAAATAGGAGGAATTCCAGGCCCCTACAACATATAGACCTGGCCAGCTGAAAGTGGTGCTGTACGCCGTATGGACCTGGCAGCAAAAGGGTTAAAGTTTCTTTATACAAAAAGTGTATCTTTACATACAAATCTTTAAATGGTGACTAGCATTGGGAGGAAACTATTTAACATAAGGTATTTAAAGAAGATAAGTAGCCACACAATGAAGTTGGATAAAAGGTGGTTCAATCTTAAACTGTGTAAGGGGTTATTTACGGTTACATCCGTTCCACAGCCTGGTGGTGCCAGCGGGAAGTACGAATACACCAAGAAAAAAAAAATTAGATGGGTTTCTTAGAGAACGCATTGTACAGTGATATGGTAAACAGTTGTGACAAACACACAAGTTGAACTGGAGTCTTTCTTCAGCCTTACCCACTATGTAACCAAATATCTGAAAGTGGGAGCTGCATTACTTTTTTCCCTATATTTTCACATGGCATTCTTGTAAATAACTACAAGGAAATCAGATTCCCAAACACAAAAAAGTGTGACTTGAAGGCTTGAAGTACCTCATGGAAAAGACTAGGTGGTCTTACATATCAGAAACATTGGAACTGAAAAAGCCCAAGAAGGTATAAACTGAACAAGTTTCATGAGCCTTAACTGGAAATGGAGATATCCTATGCTTCAATGCATAACCCATAGTGATAACTTGTCTAACCTACCTAGAAATCATGGAACAAGATGCAGAATATCCCCTTGCAGGAGCCCGCAGGTAGGACAAAAAAAAAAAAAAAAAATCCTAGTCCCGTATAGAGGCAGTGGCTGAGAGGTTAACTTGCACTGTCACATCACATCTAAGTAGTGTAGAGAAATCTCTTTGGGATTCTGGACAAAGGTGGCAGCACAATGCCTTAATAAGGGTGGAAGGGGAACCACCCTGAGGAGAAAGAATACCAGAGGCTTCAAAACCTATGAAAAACAAGGAAGAATTCTTTACAAGATAAGGCCGCCAAGTACAGTAGCCAGTCTTGCTGATGTGATAGCAATGAGACTGTACACCTTACAAGTAGGGTTGCGCATGGGATTATCTTAAACAGGTTCAAAGGGAGGCTTCTGTAGAGCAGACGGGACTTGATTAGGAGCCCATAGTGAGGCCAAGTCTCACAAAGGCTGCAGGATAACCCATAATTCAGAGCAAGTTAGCACTGGAGTTGAATTGTGTCTTGTCTGTAGGAGAGCAAGTGCCCAAAAGGACACCTGGAGCTTACCGGGAGCCAAGGAGCCACCTACAAGATTGGGACTGTGCACCTGAATGTGTCACAGGCAATTCAACAAAATCCCCTAAATTGTGAGGAGAGCATTACATGTTATGTCAAAGCTGTCAGGTATCATGGCAGTCCTATGACACATTACTCTTGACTGAAGAGCTCAACAATCCAGGGCACTGTGTCCAAGGAAGAATCCAGCAGGTGGGAGTCTTAAGGGACTGGTTCACATAGGTGCAGATGGCCACTGCCCTGGATTTGTAGAGCACCCTGCAGCTAACGGTGCCTCACTGTACTACTGTACCAAGGGTTCGTTTCAAATGGTGGGAACCAGGGTATGCTTCCCAGAAGCACTGCTAAGGGGTTACTTATCCAGAAGTTGCAAGAATTAGCAGCAGCAGCTTAGAAGCAGATAAGTGGAGAAAGGACTTCGATGACAAGAATAGTACATAGACTTCCCAATCTTTCAAGTACAAAATAGAATTATAATCCAGACATTTGCTCTCAGTAGAGAGGTCGTCCACCACCTAAGAACACTAGCACAAAAGTGAGGATTGCTGGGAGAGAGAGGGTATATGAGCTGTTCTAACTTTGTTTGGCAGTGTCCTAACCTGAAGGTGGCACTATACTGTATAACCATGGTCTTCAATAATGGAAACCAGGGTCCTGTGCTGTAGGATTAGGAAAACAGTTTACACAAGAATGAAGAGATTGTTTTGCTATGATGCCATTTCTGGCTATATCAACAGGTATTTTAAGCACTTGCTTGAAATGTTCTTAGACTACAAAAAAAGAAAAAACTACTGCACCCAGCACATCTAAGTACTTGTAAGCTGCAATAAACTAAACATTTTTGGTCTTATATATGCTTCTGAAAGGACCACAATGTGAAACACATTAAACATAGCTAACAACTGAACAAGCTTTAACCACTTCACACTATTAGGACACACCTGTATGTCGTCTGGTTGAAGTGGTACTGGGATCATGGCTGTAGCTTTTAGCCAGTGATGGGCTTTCCTGTAGAAGTGATCCAAGCAGCTCTACAGCCACCCAATTATTTATACAGGGTGTGGAAGGCAGCACTCCCTCTCAATGCCATTCCCTGGCTCTATGGTGCAATCGGGGAGCTGGGGATCACTGCCACCCATAGGGTCTGGTAACCCCCCCCCCACGATGTAAGAAACCAGAAGCGACAAGATTACATTACTTCAGGTTTGATTTTGTTTACAAGCCATTACCAGCTTGTAAAGCATTTAATAAACCAATGTCAGCCTGATCAGATGCTTCTGAAGGCAGAGGAAAGATCAGGGACCAGACCCCAGATCTCTCAGTAAAGCGTACCAGTCACTGCCCATACCATTAAAAAGGGATGTTGTTCATCCCTTGTGACAGCAATAGTTCATCTCCAAAAAAGCTGAAGTGCCCCCGTGCCCTCATGCTCACCTACAAATTCAAGCACATACATGGGTCCCGCATGAATATGTAAACTAACCGCACCACACACATGAGATATCATCGTGAATGGCAGAGCAACAATTCTAGTGCCAGACCACCCTAAACTGGTAACCTATAAAGGCTTTTAAAAAGCTTGCCTATAGATAATTTAATGTACTGTAGTTTGTCGACATTCAACTGGCATGTGCCATTTTAAAGTGCGATATGCAAGTTACCCATTTACTTGGTGTAACATTATCTTTTATATTTTACTAATAAATTGGGTATTATATTGTGTTTGTGTGCACCAAAATTCATTAAAGTACTTTTTTTAAAGTTTTTGTTTTGAAAACCGCTACGCAAATATCATGCATCATGAAAAATTGCACTACCATTTTATTTTCCAGTGTCTCCGCTT